CATAATTCAGATAAATTTCAAGTATACAAAACCTTTCACTGATGGATTATTGTTATGCACATTATACATGAGCCCTAGACTAACCGTTTGGAACCCGTGTACGGGTCAAACCATGTGGATCCAAACCAAATGTGTTAACTACACGAACGATACATATGCTCTCGGATACGAAAACAATGAATCGTGCCATAATTACAAAATTATGAGGTTATTTGATCATGAAACTTTTGAGTCTACTGAATTTAACTCTAATTCATGGAGGGTTCTTGACAACGGCATTCTAGATTTTAAGATGGAAATGAATTGTGTGTCTTTAAAGAGAAATACTTACTGGATCGCTGTGGATAAACTAGAGGGAGCATTTGGAAATGAATTCTTAATAAGTTTTGATTTTACAAGAGAGCAATTTGGACCGCATGTGGCACTTCCGTCTAAAGGNTTTGGTTTTAGGGAATTTAAGTCTTTGTCTTCTGTAAGAGAAGAGCGGCCTTTGGTGTTGTTTGAGGACCAAGATACATCAAAGATGGAGATATGGATGACAAATAACGTCACCGACAGCAAACCCATGACTTGGAGCAATTTTTTAAAATTTGATTTAAACTCTATTCGGTTCTACAATGATGTAAGTTTTTTCATCGATGAGGAGAATAAAGTCGCCGTGTGTTCTGGTGAAGTAATCGAAGGAGATAAATTCAACATCATTGTATACATTATAGGAGAGAATGGATTGAGAAAAGTGAATATTGGCGAAGGACCATATTCTCCATGCATGTTAAGTTTTGTTCCAAGTTTGGTTCGATTAATCTAGTAAAATAAGGAGATTGGTTAGTCTGAAAATAATGTTATTTCTTGAATCTCTTGTTTTGTTCGTTTTTTTTCTTCCTTCTCAATGTCCTTCGACTAATGAATGAATTGATGCTATTTCATTTCTTTTTGTTACTCACAAATCCTCCAACTCGTGTTACTTTATGGTTTTTTTCTTCTTTCCAATACTTTCCGTTTACAAATAATTAACAACTCTAAAACTTACATTCAACATACTGAGAGGGCTTGAGCACTAATTAAGTG